CCTGTTCTTTAGCTGCTCCCTTTGTCTGGCAACTCTGTGCATGCATACACTGAGAATAAGTTCCAGCTGTTCTTCTGCCTCACTGACGTCTGACTCTGAAGGCAGCTGATAACTGGCATACGGGCCTGGCCCCCTCTCTGCCTCCGACATAGAGTCCACATCAGAGCCTTCCCCAGACTCCAGGACTGGCCCATCTTCCTCCCCAACCTCCTCACTGTCTGAATCTGCTGCCAGCTCTTCTGGCGGGCCACAACACCATCTTCTTTAAAGGCCACAACACCTATTTGTAACAGCAAAAGCCTGTACGGATCGCAGCTACAGAGTGTTATCCTAGGTGTAAGATTCAATCTAGAAAAGGGGTCCTCAACCCCCAGTCCATTGACTGGCATCGGACCGTGGCATGCCAGAAACTGGGCCACGCAAACAAGCGAAGCCCCATCCACGGGATACAAGCAGCACATGAAACCATGTCTGGTCCGGTCCAGGAGAAAACCTTTCTCCACAGAACCGATCTCTGGTGCCCCCCCCCCCCACACACAAAATGTGGGTCCCTGAACCTTTGTGCGTGCGGTTTTTCAATTCCAGTTTATACCTTGGGATATTGTGTGAACCAGCCTACTCTACCCAGGACGGAGTTACGCTGAGCGGTTAAAACAGTCACCAAAGGATTTTTGCACAGAGATTGGCAATGTCCAGTTTTAACTGCTCACAGTCCTCAACTTACAACCGTTTAATTTAGTTTAGGTCACATGACCTCCTTTTGCGACCTTCCGACAAGCAAAGTCTATGGGGAAGCCAGATTCAAGTTACTAACTCAACAATGGCAAGGATTCACTTAACAGCCATGGGGAGAAAGGTCATAAAATGGAGCAAAGCTCCCTTAACAAATGTTTCACTTAGCAACAGAAATTTTGGGCTCAACAGTGGTCAAGTCGAGGACAACCTGCACTTGTTATTTCTTCATGAATTAAGAAAATTTCTACTGCCACCCAACTCACTCCACGGGAACTCCGGCCAGCTGAAGAGAAACGCTACGAAAGCCCTGAGTTTCAAATTCACGAAAAAAAGTCCCAACGCTTCATTTCTGTGGTTTGAAGAACAATTTATAGAAATAAAATAAATAAAATAAAAAAATAATGTAAAAAATAAAATAAAAAATAATGTAAAAAATAAAATAAAGTAAAAAAATAAAATAAAAAATAAAGTAATCAAATAAAATAAAAAATAAAATAAAAAATAAAATAAAAAATAAAATAAAATAATAAAGTAAAATAAAATAAAATAAATAAAAAATAAAATAAAATAATCAAATAAAATAAAAAATAAAATAAAATAATAAAGTAAAATAAAATAATCAAATAAAATAATAAATCAGACTGCATATGTTCCCTTTCCAAATTTGTGCATTGTCCCCAAAAATTGCTTTTGTTCATGGATGTAAAAGGCAAAGGTTCCCCTCGCACATACGTGCTAGTCGTTCCCGACTCTAGGGGGCAGTGCTCATCTCCATTTCTAAGCTGAAGAGCCAACACTGTCTGAAGACGTCTCCGTGGTCATGTGGCCGACATGACTCAACCCCCGAAGGCGCACGGAACGCTGTTACCTTCCCACCAAATGTGGTTCCTATTTTTCTACTTGCATTTTTTTACATGCTTTCGAACTGCTAGGTTGGCAGAAGCTGGGAAAGTAACAGCTCATTCAGTTATGCAGCGCTAGGGATTCGAACCACTGAACTGCCGACCTTTCTGATCAACGAGCTCAGCATCTTAGCCACTGAGCCACCACGTCCCTCATTTTACTTCTTGCTTATTGTCTGCTTTCAGAATGAGTTCATCCAATTCTCTCTCTCAGTTGGCCTACCAAGCCCAGCACAGGTAACTCAAGATAACATGGTGAACCTTTGAACAAAGTGAAATCTAGTCTATAAATGCTTTTATGCTGCCATAAATTGATTAGGCTGTAAGGCACCCTGAATACACAGCACTGTTTGTTTGTTTTTTTACAACAAAGTTGCCAGCCCAATTGTGCATAGCCCTGTTGAGAAATCATCAATTAGCACCAAGGTGATGATGTAATTGTTAAGGTGGAATTTAGCATGATAAAGGGAAGACGTGCATCCTTTCTTAGCTCTCTCTCTCCCTTTCCCACAGGCAGGAGGACAATCTGTCCATTCATAGGTGGGTTCCAAAACTCCAGAAAACCACTACAGTGCAATAAAAGAGAGTTCAAGAAGTTTTAGCTGCCTTGCAATAGTTGTTCAGTTTTCTGGCATATAGGAGCCCTAAAGAGAAGATGGTATACAGTCCTTCAAACCCAAAGGTGCTTTTTCAAGAGGCAACTGGAAAAAAATTGCAAACTATGGGAACCATTTGCACCATACAGGTGGCTTTGAGGATACAGAAAAACCTCCAAGTGGCCTCAACGACTCTCTAAAAGGATGCAAATGACCAGCTGTCTGCAAGGAATACAAATCCTTCCATTCCCCACCAACCAGTCAGAGCTGAAGAAGCTTCTTGGATGAGAAGTGAAATGTCTTCAAAGAAAAAACAAGAATGTCCAGTTGCCTCCTGAAAAAGCACCTTTGGGACAACCATGACCTGGGTGATCGAGAATCTCCATAGACAGTCCTAAAAACCTACCAATTTGGTCCACCTACCCAGCTACACCAAATAATCATCATATGTTTTTTTTCCAGCACAATTTTGAAATCACAGACTAGATTTTTTTCCCCAAAGGGTATCAATCATGAAGGTTGATTTCTACAGCCAGCACCACATTCAGGAGTTCGTTTAACATGAAGTTATGTCCATTTTTTTTTATCTCTAGGATTGGATACATGGCCTTTCTCAACTTTAAAGGATCTTGGGATTGGCAGTTCTGTGATGGCTTAGCTGTGATTTCAAAATTATGGGCCAGAAAATTGAAAGCCCTCTCAAAAGGCTGTTATTTATTCCCAAATCAATCAACACAAGGAAATGTTCTTTTGATAATGACACAAAGAAGGTATTTTCCTGGCAATAGGATTGACCTGCTTTTTTCTGATAGGATTCCAGTGCTAGCAATACCTGTACAATATTTCTCCAAATATCAGGAGCTGTTTCAATTATTATTTTGGAAGAACCAGAGTTTCAATGAACATTTAAAAAGGCGTTGCCACGGAACATGGACTCTTGAGGATTTTCACAGTGCATTAAGCTATGCTTGGATTAACCCCAGCTTGCTAAAGAAACTACAACTGGATTCACACATACTGCACCAAGCTACAGGTTTCTTTTTTAAAAAAAAAAATAGGGTGTATATATAGAATAAGTCACAATTGGTTGGGTTTGTGTGATAGATTGAGCCCATGTCAAAGTTCAGCAGAATGTGTGAATCCAGTCTGGATTTTTTTGAGAATAGGTGGTCAGGAAGACAGAATCAGCCCATTTTTATGAAGAAAAGCTGGTGGCTCGATCACGATTGTTGGAGCATATCTTGCCACACCATTCAGATATCCAGATCTGGAATTCAATCAACCCATTTTCACATTCATGTTATTTTGAGGGGGGGGGGAGTCTTTCGTTTGGAGTTGTTTAAAGCTTTGTCCTGCCTGCCTTACTTAGAAGGATATACGGTATATATATAAAATCAAAATGAATAGAAGTGAATATGTGTCCTTTCCTGACACATTTTTTTTGTCTCTCTTTCTGGCATGTTGGAACTTTCTTCCTCCTCCTCTTGAAAATATCTGGCTCTTCATTTAGTTTAGGATGGCCCCCATGGATGACAGAACTTAATGCTGATCAGCCACGCAACCCCCAAAGAGAAAACTGGATCATCTTTCTTGACTGAACAGTTGAATGGATCATCCTTCTAGACCTGAAAACCATGGTCCATCGTGTTGGCTTGGTGATGTATCTGCAGACATCTGCAGTGACGTGGATGAGGTGTGGTTGCTGCAAACTCAGGAATAATTATATTGGCTTTCAGGAGTGGTGGGAAACCCAAAGACCAGAACCACAAGTCGCACCTCATCCCCATGTTTGGAAAGTTCTGAAAGCTTTTGTCTGCTTCGTTGATGTTCCTCAACTTGACCAGAGAACATCTCATGAGGTTCCTCTCAGACTTTGCCAAGACAACTCATTGGTGGACAACCAGAGACAAGAGTTATGGGTTGGTAGAACCGTTTAGTCTCCCAGAGGAAGGAAAAAGCTTGTCCTGCTTGGATCTAAGGACAAGGATCTCCTCCCGCAGCCGAGATGAGGGCGGCAGATTCTGGCTTGATCACAGCCCCAGAGGCTCCCCTTCTTCCTGAGCTCGTCTCGTCTCAAGTCAGTCCAACGAGACTTCGCAGGGGTTCTCGTGAGCTTGTCGCGCCTCCTCATAGATGCGGATGAAGTCTTTGTATCGGGGAGCGCAGGTGAGCCAGGCCTCTGCAAAGTGCATCCACCCGGTGAATAAAAAACTTCCTGGGCCGGGTTTCACCCCACATCGTAGGAGGGTGTGGATATTGCCAGTGGATTTTCCAGATTTGCCGACTGGTTGAAACAGAGCAAATTTCTGGCGATGGATCCGCGTGGCGCTCACACCGATGATCGATTCTTGGGCTTCCCTGTCATTGGAGACGGACTTGATGTTGCCACGGATAACTGCAAGGAAGATTAAGAAGATTAGCAATTGTTCAATTCCCACCCTCTTTTTTATAAGATCGCTAGTTGGATACCCGCGCTTCGCTACGAAACTATGTGATTGGGCTTGATACTTAAAGCTTGAAAATTAATGTAGAATGCGTAACTCCTTATCATTGACATGTGTTAATATAAGGCAACTGGAAGTTGGAACAGAGTTCCTTTCAGGTGGGGAGGGGGAGTAGAACATCTAGCTCCTTAGTATCGATGTGTGTTAATATAAGGCAACTGGCAGTTGGAACAGAGTTCCTTTCAGGTGGGGAGTAGAACGTCTAACTCCTTAGCATTGACATGTGTTATTATAAGGAAACTGGCAGTTGGAACAGAGTTCCTTTCAGGTGGGGAGGGAGAGTAGACTGTCTAACTCCTTAGCATCGACACGTGTTAATATAATATTGTATAAGAAATACTGGAGATATGACGGTCATTTTGACAAATCCTTTCTTAGCGAGCACCTAGAAGGCAAGGGGAAGATACGTGCTGAATTTCAGGCTTTACAGTTCTGGAGATTTCATGATGAGTGAGTGGATTTGGCTTTTATATACGTATGTAGATTTCAAACAGCAGCCCAGGGAACAGAACGGCAGAACAGGTCCAAGTGATTCTAGGCTTAAAGGCTAAACTATGGCGAGTTTGATCAGAGTTAATTGAACATATCACCCAATGGGATAGGTTCACACAACTCTCTAAACCTAGAGAGTGTGTTTTTCAAAATTGGCCACTTGAGGTACGGACCTCATCTCCCAGAATTCCTGGCTGGGGAACTCTGGAATTCCACACTTTGAAGTCCACACCTCATAAAGCAGCCAACTTTGAAAACCACTGCCTTAAACCATAGGCTACGTTTTCCAAGCCACAATGGGTTGGTTCCCAAGAAATGCCGGACATAAGCTCAAGAGCTAAATCTTATGCCCACTAAGGCACATGTTCCACAGGTGGCATGTGGAGATGTCTCTGCTGGCACGCGAGTCATCGCCCCAGCTCAGCTGCACCATGCATGCACATATGCCTCCCGATGGCCAGCTGATTTTCAGGTCTCTGCTGAGCAGGCGGCGGGCGGCGCACATGCAGGAGACATGCGCAGGGAGTCAAATGTGACTTTGTGGGGGCGGGGAGGAGCCGGGGGGCGTTTTTTGTCCCAGGGGGCTTCAGGGAGGCCTGCTAGGCCCAAAATGGGGCACGGCGGTCGCACACACATGCTCAGGGGGCGGGCGGGCAGGGGTTGCACAGGCACAGGGCGCAGGCATTGCATTATGGGTGTGGGCATGCACATGAGCTCTGTTGCGCGCTCATATGTGCTTTTGCCATGCGATGACAAAAAGGTTAGCCATCACTGTCTCAGGGTAATCTCTGAATCCACTGTAAAAGTATCCGAGTTAAAATATAGGAGTAAAATAAGTATTACTTTGTCTTTTTTTAAGATAAGAGGGAGATTTGAGATCAATCCGACCATGTGGCTGCACCTAATTTAATGACCCTTTTCGCCATTCAACGAACGTTGCCGTTGTTAAGTGAACACAGTGGTTGTTAGTTAAGGGACTCTGTGCTTCTTTCTAGGGGGGAAGCTGAAAGTAAATGCCAGTTTGGGGGCAAAAAAGTATCACCCAAAAATGGGATGATGCAAACGGACATAAATGGGACCCCGTTGCAATCATGAGACGATAAGGGGTGTTCTTTAAAGTTTCCACTGACTCCGATTTCAGGGTGGCAAAAGGGCCTCACTCAGAGAGGCATCTGGCGGGCATTTCTTTGCTGACCTCTCTCTCTTAATCGGTTGCAAGGGCTTTCGAGGGGCTGCAGAATTGTTAGGATTCCGCCAATCCTCTGCACCGAGCCCCCCCTCCCCCACTTGCCCGAAAATGCACTTGCCTCCCTTCAAGCCAGCAAGGAGCCTCTCGGAGGTCTCCCAGATAGGCCCCTGCTCTGATCTGGCGTGACAAATCCTCCTGTTCTCTTGTCTGACTTGCCAGTTGCTGTAGCAACCCCAGAGCTGGGCACTCACTGACGCTGTGACCTCTTTCTTCCACTGTTGAGGATTGCAAATGGGGTGGGGTGGGGGTTGGGGGGTTAGCGCTTGCAAGGCTGCAAGAAGCAAAACGGAGTGGGGGTAGGCGGGTGGATGACCACAAGCATTGCCAAGAGGGAATACAAGCACTGTACACCTCCAACTATTTGTTTATTTTCTTTCTTTCTTTTTCTTTCTTTCATTCATCATTTATCCATCTATATCATCTCTATCTATCATCATTTCTCTCTATCATTATCTCTGTCTGCCTGTCCGCCCATCCATCCATCCATCCATCCATTTCATATATCATATCATATATTATATCATATCCATCATCTATGTCATCTCCATCTCTATCTCTCATCATATCTATCTATCTGTATCTATCTATCTCTCCATCCATCCATCCATCCATCCATCTATCTCATATATCATATCATATTATAACCATCATCTATCTATCTCTAGCTATCTATCGCATCATATATATATATATATCTCCATCCATATCTATCTATCTATCTATCTATCTATCTATCTATCTATCTATCTATCTATCTATCTAT